ACACACGGATCACATGTACTGAATATCTCCTGCTTCTTCTTTTAGTCAGAACCAGAACAGCACATATGATATTAGAGCTTCACGATTTGGAAAAAGATTGCGATTATTTTGACTGATATTGCAATTTTGATATTATTTTTGATGTAGGAGCCTTTCTTTAAATCTCTTGTTTGAATTCAAATCAAATTGCATATTTTAGCCCCATTATATATTCCTTTAATTGCCTTTTAGGTTTATGGATATTTATTATATATATTTTGTAATGAGAAGCTAATATGGAGCCTGGCCATGGGCTACAACCTTTTTTATATTCTTCTTTGGTAGTTACTCAGCTTATTAATTTATTACGTCGGGTCCTCTCCTATTTTTTTTGGACTGCCATCAAAGGCACGTATCTCCTGGATGCTCGAGTCAAGTTTGGCGTTTGGATTGCCAAACAAAACAAAGCTGATCGAACGCTAAAGGACATCCTGGATGATCGTTTTTTAAACATTATAAACATCACCATTGAAAAACATGATCAAATCTGAGAATCTGTACCAAACACAAATGTTTCTATTAAGTCTGTACAATACCAGGGCTGTTCTGCCTTTCCTGTCTTTACCAAATACTGTCATTTAGATATTGCACGTGTCCATAATTGCACTTTCGATAACATTTTGATTAATTGTGCAGCTCTATTAGAAACCTTTCCCACATCTCCTCTTGCGTTCACACCCGCCTCTTGTCTTCTCCCCTTCAGTGTTTGAGTGGCATTTCAAGTGTGGGAACAATTACATAACATCCGTCTGTGTGTGTTGTTTGTTTCGCTATTTGTCACACGGTGTTTCTTAGCGTTTCATAACAGCCAGTTAGAGATTTTAGATCAGATAAATGAGAAAACCAGCTGACAAAAAAATGTATATTAATTATCTTAAATAATTAATAATAGACACACTCAGGTAATAGGATCCTTTTAATATTTTAAAATAACTGGATCAACAGAACTAGAACCAAAAACACACAGATGACAAGGAGACTATAATCAGTTTTCAGAGATCATTTTAGAAACCTTAGATTCAGATCACTCCTTGATGGGGCTTAAAAATAAATATTTAACCCAACAAAATAATCTTATATATTATCTTTTGATCATTTTCATCCAGAAACCCCCCGAAAAAAGTTAAAATGTGTGAATTTAAAATACATTTTGAACTTTAGCGAATTTGGGATATCAGTCCCCAAGTTTTCAACATACATTCACACACACACACACACACACACACACGCACGCACGCACGCACACACACGCACACACACACACACACACACACACACACACTCTTCGGCCCATATGTTATTTAAATTCTTTAATGGATCCATATTTTTTCTTCTTTTTCTTAACTTACACCTCTTCCCCTTAACTCCATAACCACATTATATATTCCTCTCATGTTCCTCCTCATATTTATTTGTTCCATCGTCCTCTTTCTCCTCTCAGGAGGTATGATATAAGTGCATAACATCAGTCGCTCTGCCATTTGTTTTCCTAGCATTTCATAACAGCCAATTATCGTTTGTTGAATTGTGGTCTCTGTTTGTCTGAGCAAAGCCACAGGAGATGATCGTATTTCACATATTTCTACGGCTTCTATACTTTCCCCTACACACACACACACACACACACACACGCACACACACACACACATTAATACACATCAACGCCCTTAGCCTCTCCACTCCACTCTGGACAATATGGATGATCTGTAAGCCAGGATTTATAACCCTATAAGTCTGTTTATCTTGGCTCCAAATCTATAAGCTTGAGGCTTAAAGCGAGATACCTCCAACTGATCAGATGTATTGCCGAGCGTTGCAGGAGGGAAGGTTCAATTAAGATGAAACCAATCACATTTCATCAACTGCCTTTTGATATCCCGAAGGAAATCAGTGCTGGCAGCGGCTGTGGTCAGTTCACACATTAAAGAGATCCACAGCAAATTAAAATGGATCAGAAAGAGGGAGATTTCTTTAAGAGGGATGTGTTTTTAAAAGGTCCTTTTTATGAATATTTTTCTGATCTTTCTATCAAACCCTATAGCAGTGATTTAAGCTCTATCCCATTAATTTAATGTAGTTGATTTCAGTGATAACAGTAGGTTAGTCATGGAGGAAAATGTCTTCTGATGACTGAGAAGTTATGTATTTTCTTTTGCGATTTCTTTACAAAAAACACATCTTATAGTTTCTTTATGATTTTTAAGCGATAATGCAATCTCTAGAAACTAACTTCAGGCTTTAAAGGAACTACAGCACGGTCACATGACATCACGTCACCACCGCTAAGCTAAATGTGGCTAATGTTGGGCTATAAAGGGACTACGGCACGGTCACATGACTTCACGTCACCACCGCTAAGCTAAAGGCGGCTAATGTTGGGCTATAAAGGAACTACAGCACGGTCACATGACTTCACGTCACCACCGCTAAGCTAAAGGCGGCTAATGTTGGGCTATAAAGGAACTACATCACGGTCACAATTACTTCACGTCACCACCGCTAAGCTAAAGGTGGCTAATGTCGGGCTATAAAGGAACTACAGCACGGTCACATGACTTCACGTTACCACCGCTAAGCTAAAGATGGCTAATGTTGGTCTATAAAGGAACTACAGCACGGTCACATGACTTCACGTCACCACCGCTAAGCTAAGGAGCTAATGTTGGCTATAAAGGAACTACAGCACGATCACATGACTTCACGTCACCACCGCTAAGCTAAAGGTGGCTAATGTTGGGCTATAAAGGAACTACAAGCACGGTCACATGACTTCACGTCACCACCGCTAAGCTAAAGGCTGGCTAATGTTTGGGCTATAAAAAGGAACTACAGCACGATCACATGACTTCACGTCACCACCGCTAAGCTAAAGGTGGCTAATGTTGGGCTATAAAGGAACTACAGCACGGTCACATGACTTCACGTCACCACCGCTAAGCTAAAGGCTGCTAATGTTGGGCTATAAAGGAACGACAGCACGGTCACATGACTTCACGTCACCAGCGCTAAGCTAAAGGTGGCTAATGTTGGGCTATAAAGGAACTACAGCACGGTCACATGACTTCACCTCACCACCGCTAAGCTAAAGGCGGCTAATGTTGGGCTATAAAGGAACTACAGCACGGTCACATGACTTCACGTCACCACCGCTAAGCTAAAGGTGGCTAATGTTGGGCTATAAAGGAAGAACAGCACGGTCACATGACTTCACGTCAAACACTTGTTTTTAAATCCACCAGTGGGGTATTTACTGACGTATTTTATATTCTAGGACAAAACGTTTAAAATCTCCTCAGACCATATTTCATACTAAAAACCAAAAACACAGTAAAAAAAACATTGACTTCGAGATGAGGGAACAGGAAGTGGTAAAATGCTGAGTAATCTTTGGGTTGTACGCCTCATTCCTGCACTATTGCACTATTGGTGCCATTTCCTGCTGCTGTACTCAGACCAATGTTCCAGCGCTGTGGTTTTAAAGTGCAGACCGGGGCGGATGGTCATCAAATTAACTTTGTGTTCTGAGAGAGGTCAGAGTATTGAGTTGTCACCACAACAAGCAGCAGAGTTTTGGCCGCAGCCCGAGCCCTGGCACGGCCGCGGCACTTGGCAGCAGAAACACGGAAACACGGAAACATGAATCGGCTGCTGAGTGTTCGCATCTTTTGGCCGGCGCGGACAGGAAGAGAGAGCTGAGAGTTTGATTCTGCTGAGGCTGGATCTGCTCACACAATGTCACACACACACTTCTCTCCACACACACTTCTCTCCACTGTACACATGGTCATTCACAGCCGTGTGACGTGTGGACGGAGCAGGGTGTTATTGAGCGGTCAGATAAAGGAAGGATGTGTGTTGGCTTTGAGGGAGAGTGCTCATAGATTAGTGTAGAACAAATTGTGTTATGAAAACTCACCAGTTTATCTTAATTGTACCACTAGAGGGAAATGCAACTTGTATCAGAGCATCATGTGAAAACACAGAACAATATGGGGCTGCAAAATGATTGGACATTTGTTATTGAAATTGCATTATAGACTAGAGCAATATTTATTTCAGATATGGTGAAATAATCTGAATTAAATAATGTTTGGATGATAAGTCACACCTACAATAATTGAGTATATTTTTTCATCAATATCAAATAGTATCCTTCCCTCCAATTGTTTCTAATTTCAGTATCACATTATTGCAACTATTTATTTTTTCCAAAGCGTAACAATTATTTAGTGCTTTTTTTTGTTATCTTGTTGTATTTTTTAAGTGTAATTTTTATGCGAATAAAGCTTGTTTATTGCAGTGGGAACAAATGAAAACGTATAAATCTATTGCACTTCACCCGTAAAACAAGCAGAAATTGTAATTTATTGACTTTAAAGGCATGATAATTCATCAGAAAAAGCCTAAACAGTATAGAGAGGCGAAGTCCCGTCCCATCTACTTCCGACCCATGGGACCTTATTTCAGAAAAAGTATGTATTGCAGTCAATGGGGAGAGAAAGATTATCTCTCGATCCCGTTTGAATTGTGCCATGAATTACACAGATGATGTTTGTCAATCTTAAAAAATTATTTCCATGTCAAAAAAGTCACAGTTTGTTGTAAAACTGTTGAAATATAAGACTATGAAAAATACGCAACTAGAAAGACTACAAATCCCAGAGTCCCGGTCCCGCATGCTGGCTCTTAGGAACCGACTAACTCCCCTTGTGTGTATGTACAGCTCTCAACATGCCCAGACTTGGAGTGATTTTCACCTCTTTTAATACTTTCCGCCTCATTCTGAAAGAAAGAAGTGAAATGTGCCAACGTGACGGCCGTCTTGGTGTGTGGTGCGAGACGGGAGATGGAGTTCATTGAGCGGTTTCACACAACAAAAAGTGTTACTTCACAGTTTTATTTTTTTGACTTGCAAAATTATCTTTTAAATTGACAAACATCATATGTGTAATTCGTGGCAC